TCGCTTGTCCTGTCAGCTCCACAGAAAGGGCTCTACTCCTGATCTGATTGCGTGGATGCCATCTGTCAACTAAGCGTCCACCGGCAGGAGGTGAGCAAAGGCACGGCGCGTACCTCCGTCGTGACTCAATCGATGCGATACTCCGCCGGCGTTGACGCTGACTGTGAACTTATTTATCCCACGTCGACACTAAGGACAACGATTTACACGCGTTATTTTAGCGACGCCATTTTTGACCGCATAATGACCTGTGGCAACTGTCGAGCGTGTCTCGCTAAAGGGTCTTCGGCTACACCAGGGAGGGTCGTTCGACTTTCACCATTGCAAATCGCATCGACTAATTAAGTCGACGTAAAAAAAAGTTATGCGCAATTTGGCGTGGCACTCAGCCCAAGGCGCACATCGCGCACACCGAACTGAGGCAAATTGGACACTCGCTTTTGCACAGATCGATGGCATATCGGCTTAGCAGCGAATTTCCTCATGCAGGACACGATTACGTGTTGAGAAAAGCACCACTTATTCGATTTGACTCGTTGCTTTTCAAATCCTGAGTTACGTGAAGAAATCGAGCATCGGTTTCTTCGTGCAACCATTATTACCTACCTCCCAAACTAATTATTTCCAAAAATTTATGATTCTCTTGTCATATTTTGACCTATATTCCTTCTGATAAACAACATGTACAAAAACCTCTAATTTTCTACATTAGTCTGCAAACATGGCCGCTGAGTGTAAAATAATTATTGCACATAAATTAAGTCATTTGCTGCTTTTGAACTGTGAACGCACTCTTTGCACGAAATTGTCAATAACTCATAATTATCGTCAAGTAGAAGAACGAACAGATATTCCTTATGAAAAGAATAAATGTTTTTTCAATTGATCCATTCAAGGAAGAAAACAATGACTGGTGGAGGAGGGAGGGTCAGTGGTCCAGTTGGGTGCAATGTTGCTTTGCGGTTTAGAATCTTATGCATGGCACAGTAATATTTATAGCTCCTAATTCCATGCAGCAAGCAATTTGCCGTGCTACAACAAATGAGCTGCGGTAACCTTGAGAACAATAAGAACATCATGGTCTTCTGGTGTGGATGTGCCAGTACGTGCGAGACGTACGACCATGTTCTCTGACATGTACCCTTTGAGCCGTCTGATAGCTGACAAAAATGGAACAATAGCAAGATGCGAGGTCAGTATTGGCACCTTTGCCTCAGCAAAATATGTCCTGGCCTTTGAGTCCGTTGGGTGTCCCTCTCTACTCTGTAAATAGTTGAAATGTAATAGTCGGCGGAATTCGAAAGTTGCTATTCGTGTAGTTGCCTCAGAACATCAGAGTTGCACTTTACTTTGATCGCAATGAGGTTCTTCATATTTGTTTCATTTTCTAGTTTTCATAGATTTTACGTAGTAATGCCAAAAATTGCAGCGATGTAAATATAGATTCATTTTTCATTTGATTTGTCCTCGTTTTAAGTGCGACATAAGGGCAAGTCGAAGCTCCTCCAATCTCCAATGATCTCTACTTTCTGCCCCTATAGCTGACCAGTTAGTATGACCATCGTGACAAATCGCTTAGAGTGATCTACCGAATCGTAAGCGTTGTTCAGACCCGACACGGTTGCCTGAACCAATTTTCTCAGACGATTTTCTTTGAGATTTTTTTGTAATTGGATGTTGGCAGTCTGGCAGTCTATTCGGCATGCCAATCGTAATGAACTGTTGCCGATATATCCCCAACCTTTATCCAGCCTAGTTGGTTCACAGAGGTGAAGCACTTTTTGAAGATTTGCCACTGTCGAGTGAAGGGCAACCACCGTTTCTCCTACAGGAGCTCCTCATGCGCTACCTTCTGGCCCTCACTTTAGCAGGAAAAATACAAATGATCATATCATTAATAAATTCGCTAAGAGCCTGATCAGTTTTTCACCTGATTCGACAATTTTCCGCGATAATGCACTGTTCGCCAGAGGTCCAGAAGTCTTTCACATTTACTGAAAGATGGTACCCGATCTTGCCGTCGTCCTTGACAGTTGATCTCACTCTCGCCAAAACCGCAAAAGGTGCGTTTCAGTAAATGAACTGGACATTTTCCGTGTCAGACTAACAGTCATATTTGAGCAATCGACAGTATCGCCAGTGTGTCTTGGACTCATCAGCTAGATGGCATTCCGTAACATGTCACGAACACGTCTTTAAAGCAACTACCTCACGGTGAATAAATAATACGTTTGACCACCGAAACTAGAAAGCATTTCGTCTACGTTTGCTTTAACCACTTAACTCAAGGCACATTAGACGCATTAATCGTTAAAATGGGTTTTCTTTTTCTCCTTTTTCTTCTTCTTCTTCTTCTTCTTCCCCTCCTCCTCTTCTTTTTCTTTTTCTTCTTCTTCTTCTTCCTTTTCTTCTTCTTCTTCTTCTTCTTCTTCTTCCTCCTCTTCTTCTTCTTCTTTTTCTTCTTCTTCCTTTTCTTCTTCTTCTTCCTCCTCCTCCTCCTCTTCTTCTTCCCTCTTCTTCTTCTTCTCAGTCCTTGACGGTAGGGCACGACTGTAAAAACCATTCTAATTTCGTCTTGGAATTTAAAGGCGTGGTATAATGCTGCCTTTACAGCGTGAATAATGCCAGTGGAACAGCGCGACAGATGAACCGGCGAGACCAAGGGCAATGAGGTAGACAACCTGTGCCCTGTTTCGACCGACTATGAGACCAAAAGAAGACGTCGGTGGCGCATTCTTTCAAGCGCTTTAATGTCTGGCGACGTGCCTCGTCGCTCCGCCACTCGATCAATCTCTCGCTGTGTGCCAGGGCATTTTGGAACCTTCAGTCCGCGCTAATGGTCCGTAATAACCACGCACGGTGTTGCTTTCTGGACCCTCCGCGGTGGGCTGAAAAGCACTGAGTCGTTCATACGGCCCAAAAAGTCAACAGCCGAAGCGGGTGGAACTCGGGGGCCTTTCGTGCAGTCTTTGGATTGAGGCGTGAGGCGGTGTCGATGCTCACCGATCGGCGAGGGACTCGACTGTGATTGCGTTGCGCTCGACTGCCAATCGCTTTGTCTCTGATGCAGTAATTGACCCTTCATGACATCGTGCTCCATGAAGTTCGCGGAAAAGCATCCTTTCCGGTTGAACGGCCAACGGCGAGAGCCACCGAAACGATTTACATTCATCCATGGCCATAAACAGGAAAGTAACGGGCGAGGAATGACGTCGTTTGGCATACACAGAAAACGGATCATTACCAATTTTGCAATGCCAAGTAATTTGGGACCCCGGGAATGCGGTTCGCATCGCTATCGATTTTCAATGCAGATTCAGGGAAGGCAAATGGCATAGAAAAACCAAATTCTCAGGCTGTCCAAAAGTAAAACAATGGCAAAAATGCTTGAAATATTATCAGAGCCGCCACTCTCGGGCATTTCGGAAAATTTATTTGTCAAACTCAGTGAGGCGTTCAGGACTACCCGAATCTTCGCATACTAAAGACCTCATCTATTGCTTGTAATTTTACAAAAGCTCAACGTCCTGCATTGAAAGAAGGACGACGACTTTCACAGCGGCAATAGACATTGCAATCAACAATGTAATGAACATAGTTTTCATCGTCGATTAACCTCTGATTTCACTTCATATTCATGTATGGTTACGGTACCATATCAAAGATGCTTGAGAAAAAACCGATATATTGCAAGAGTTGTTTTTCACCATAATTCATTTTCCTTCTTTGCTCCGTTTACTCGCATCACACCGGGCCAGTTTTGAGCTAACCGTGGCTATAATCGAAAGGCATGTTTATGTTATGTTAATGAGACGTGACGCCGATCATAGGGCAAAATTGTTTTCACGGACAATATTCTGCAGCGGTGGTCCGCGGTGCCTTCTAATAGGGCGCGCTCAGGTACTTCCTGACGGAAGTAGTAAGTACTCCTGTTATAGCAAACTGCCTCGTCTGTGATTCTCCGCTAATGCAGTAATTCCTAAATCTCTTCTCGACATTATAACTTGTCATACCGGGCAGCTTTCGGCTCTGAGCCTCCAGATCGATGCCCCGTTCCTATTCAGACAAGTTCTGACATCTAGACCCTTCTGTTCGGTCATACGCAATGATGCACTTATGTATGGTGCACTTATGTACTCATGCATTACAGGTGCTAGCACACCATGGAGCCCTGGCCAGTTTAAACGGCTCCCCCTAGGTTACTAGAAACAAGAACAGAGTGCTTCGATGCCGCGTAAATCCGGAAATTTACAGGAGAGTATTCGCATTACTACAACCAATAAAATGATAGAATATGCATTTGGCATTACAGCTGCTAAAATACAATGCTGCGGTATGCTTTAGAGGCAATCTGACCAGCTAATAGCAAGAGCGTTGAGCCATAACACGGTTAAGCTCTGTTCAGCAGATATAGGCACATCAAGTTACTCTTCCTTGATTGTGCCATATCCGCTATGGAGCCTGTACAACACTTCTCAACAAAAAAGCTTATCTTCATTGTTACGATTTGTAGATGGCAATATACCCCTTAATAATAATCCTCCTCCTCAGTCCCTGGATGTGATCCCTGCTTTCTGAAAAACTTTGTTTGCAGATTTAATTCTTCTTCTGCGAAGACATAAATTTACATGTACAGTAATATGGATTTTGATCAGTACATCTAGCACTATGACTCTCGTTGCACTGGACTGCACCTGGAAGCTTCGACGAGCTTTAACCTATTGCGTGGCACCGGGGATTAATTAGACATTATTATAAACTGTATGAAATGAGCCAAGCTTTCAAATACACAGTGATATAATACAGCTAAGTAGTTCACAGAAACGTTGATTCATACTGAAAGAGAATTAATGACACTGTCCAATGTCCATTTTTCAGTTCCATTATCCCTTATGGGATTTTTACCTGTTACTGGTGCCAATTAACTCAAGAAGACGCTCCTATGGTATTTTCCATTCTGCGCTTTCTGCCTCCAAAGATGACCAAATGATTTGACCATCAAATCATTTCAGCGTGTTCATGACCAGCAGATGACCGCCACGACGTTGGTGGTTCAGTGGCAGTTTGCAACTCTTTAAATCCACCGGTTGTCTCTCAAGGGAGCCACTTCTCCTGGTGTCGTCATCTGTAAGAAATGGCGTCTGTCAATCCAGTCCGATGTCTAAGTTGTGCGATCGAAATGTACGTGATCCTGGAGGGACGCTTTGCACACTTTTTACTCCATCGCTTTGACCATCGGATTGAGTGACCATCACTTTGCTCTCCTTGGATTTAGCAGCAGACCAACTTTCAGTGCTGTCGATCCTGGAGGATAAAGAAGGTTCAATCGCACAGCTCTTTCTTTGTTCTAATGGGTAGCTCGTTATCTAGTAAGGATGTTTTAATACGATTAAAGCTGACCCATATAGCCTTCCTTCTTGACCATCCAATTATTATCCATAAAGCTTGAAAGATTACCTCTTTCTCCTCAGCTTTCTTTTGGTTCCATTCTTTCTTTCGTTCTTCTTTCCTCATTGTACCATTCGTCGTCTCCTCCTGTTCATTCTAGTTCTACTTCACCTACTTCTATCTCTCTGACAATTTCTCCATCCCTTGACCTTTATTTCGCTTCAACACTTCTTTCATCAATCTCCTTTTCATCCTTCTTCTTTCTTGTTCTTCTTCCCTTTCTTCTTATCACCCTTCTCACTATGTTCTCTTCTCTTATTTTTGTTTGCAACAGATCATTCGAGAAATTCCACGTTCACTGGAACGACGGCAGGGTAATGAGGTCTGGATAAAATTATTGATCTCCAAAAGGTATGAAGGATGTCATCCTTCTTTCCAGTTTATGACACCATCCACATGCTTCTTCTGTTATTTATGTTCGTGCTGTTCTACGTGCATCGTCAACCTTTGTTAAAAAGAATAATTTGACCAATGAATGCTTTCGTTGGGGCTTATAGAGACTGTGAATTATAGTCGAAGTGTTGTTCTCGTAGACTGATTTTCTCACAGATATGAAATGCATGAATTACTGGCTACTGTTTCTTCGTTAGTCGACCGTTTAGAGTTTATTACAAGTCGTCAGGGGTAGGAATGCACATGTACTCTTGTCCTTGTCCGTTCTTCATGATGGAGCGCGGAGGATGAATGACAGATCTCTCTTTCTACAGGACTTCAATACTTTGCTAGTCAGTTCATTCCTACTTGTGTAGAACGTTACAGTTTTGTCGCTTGAGCTCTTCGAGCAGTTGTGGCATTCATAGCTTTACAGTATTCGCTTAAATTAGAAATATTT